GACAGCTAATGTGGCTACAGACCAGCAACACATATTCCATCTTATTTACCCTCTGACGCCCAATTTAAGCTTCTGGTTGTACTGGAGAAAAGAAAGATATGGGAGTTTATCTTTGGAGGCAGGAATACGGAGTTTATAATTCTACGCATGCCTTGAGGTTGGGCCGCCTGGAACAAGGGAATTTCCATTGCGAAAATGAAGAGTCGTGAAACTGAGGCTTCCTGAAGAAGTCCTTAAGAAAGAGTCTGGCTTTTACAAAACAGGGAAAACCTGGAGAATAAGACCCTATGACACAGGAAGGGACCCTGGGGATAGAGTTAATCATTTCCAGCCAGAAATCAGCCAGGATTACTGATTGGACTGTCAGCCCATTGACTGACAAGTTCATTGTGACTGGGGGCAGCCCAAATTAGTGTGAAAGGCTTTGCAAGGAACTGGAACTTGTCTAATACCCACAGCCTTCCATCTAATTATCACTTCCCCGTATTCTGATGCCCGTTTTCCAGCGGGTTAACTCATCTGTACAACAGCAGCATTCCTGGGCCCTGAGACTGCCTGGTGGGCGTGTACTAATGGTGACTAAGTGTGCCTCTCTCTCTTTTTTTTTCTTTTGGTTTTTCGAGACAGGGTTTCTCTGTAGCTTCGGAGTCTATCCTGGAACTAGCTCTTGTAGACCAAGAAGGCCATGAACTCACAAAGACCTGCCTACCTCTGCCTCTCGAGTGGGCTGGGATTAAAGGCCTGTGCCACCACTACCTGGCTAAGTGTGCCTCTACTAATGCTTTCCAAACTAAGTAGACAGGCTCATCAGGACCTAAAGGTATTTAAAGTTCCCACTTCTGAATTAAAACAACAATTGGATTCCCCGGTAGAAATGTTTGTTCAAAACTGGAGAGGCTTCGATTTACTGCTCATGAGACAAAGGAAACTATGTATGGTTTTGTTTTAATGATAATTGATCAAGAGTAATTAGAAAAAATTTAATGGTTGAGGAAAACCTCCAAAAGAAAAACAAAAAGACAAAGACGTAAATCAAATAATTAATCCCAGTTTAATTAATAATTTAATCTGTTTGCTTAGAGCTCCTGGGTCTGTTGGCACTGGCTGGACCTTTAATTCTCATTCTGAATGGATTAATGGTTGGCTCCAGCATCTTAAAGTATATGGCCAATAATGTATCAGTTCAGTAAATTCAGTGGCTCATAGTACCAACTACCCCTGCCCCCGTTTTTATTTTTGAGACAGATTTTTTTTTTCTGTGTAGCTCTGGTTGTCCTGGAACTTGCTCTGTAGACCAGGCTAGCCTTGAACTCACAAAAACCTGCCTGCTTCTGCCCCCTGAGTGCTGGGATTAAACGTGTGTGCCACCTTTGCCAGATCCAACTACATCTCTTTAGAGTAGGGGTAAGTTCACAATTTGACTCATTCACTAGGACCAGTGGGGAATGTAATAGGGCCTCAGACCTTAGTAGGCACCCAGAGCTCAGCACAACTGACTCCATGATGAAAGCATCACTCGGGCCATGAACTCTGCATGCAGACAGCACCACCTGCCACAGCGAAAAAGGACCTAATCTATTAAAGCCCATAGTTCTGGGAAAGTCTCTAAATGTACCAACCTTGCACACCCAGTGTAGTTGAGGGCTGGCTAATAAAGACTTTGTATTGGCTTAGACCCATGTCTGAACAGTCTTCTCTAGTAGATAACCCACGACAAAGGCAGCAGACACACAGGTTGTACGCAGATGTCTATGCAGGCAAAACAGCCATATCATAAAATACTAATGAAAAAATTATGATTTTCAGTTAACCAAAACTAAACTCAACAAAAAGCCAGGTGGTCTGACACTCATCTATTATCTGAACCATCGGCTGGGAAGTGGGTGCCAGCCTAGGTTACACAAAACTTTGACTGGACCTGTCTCCTCCCACCACTCCCCCACAGGCACAAACTGGTAATCCTAACTACTCAGAGACTAAGGAAAAGGGTCAAGGCCAGTTAGAGAACTTTAAGAGAGACCCTGCTACAGGTAAAACTAGGAAGGTAACAAAAGGGCTGGCAACAGAGGTCAGTAGTAGCGCCCTTGACTAGTATGGGCAGGGGCCTGGGTTCAACCTTCAATCCTGTAAAACCTAGAAAGTTTCTGCGGTGTAGGCTGTGATGAGGCATGCCTGCAGCACCAAGAATCAGGAGGCTGAGGACAGCGTTGAGTTCCAGGTCAGCCAGGGTTCCACAGAGGCCCTGTTTGCTAATCCATAACATTCAGTTTGCTCCATACAGGGAGGAAATGGGATTGGCTCCCCATAGGGACACTTATGGACTTGGGTGAAGTTTTGAAGTGTGCTCCCCCTTTCCCTTTTGCTTCTTGGAACAAGAACAGATGCTCTACAAAGGCTAGGGCATTTATACTTCTAGAACTGAGAACAAGGCCTAGCATATAGTTGGCACAGCATATAGTTGCCAACATTAGCAAATACACGAGATGCTTAAGTTTGATCAGGATACTTTTGTAGTGTCAATACATCCCTTGCAAATTTGAAGACGCGGCTATAGTTACACGGTTTATCAGACATTCAAACTTAGGATGAGCATACGGTTTTTTGGTTAGCAAGTTTTTTGGTTTTTCAAGACAGGGCTTCTCCGTGTAGTCCTGGCTGTCCTCGAACTCACGCTGTAGACCAAAGTCAGAGATCTGCCTGCCTCTGCCTCCCAAATGCTGGGATTAAAGGCGAGCACCCGGCTAGCATACGGTTTTTGTCCAGTAATCCCCGACAGGGTCGCTGACTTAACTGACCGGATGGTCTTCTCCCACCTGTACCACGGAGGGAAACAACTCTATCTACTTCCAAAGGAAGAAATAAGACTCCTGGTGCCCGGTGAGCCCCCAGTTTATACGTTGGCTTGGGCACAGCCACAGGGGGATGAGATCCTTTCCTTTGCGGACTTCAGTAAGTCAAAGGCTCACAGTCTAGGTTTTAGGTGGTCCGCACCTGCTCGCCCCGGCCAGCCTCTTCCGGGTCAGGTGACCGCGCGCGCTCACGTGACCCGGTCTGAGTGCGGGCGCTGGAAGGCGGAAGTGGAGCGGAGTTAGGCGCCGCTGGTGTGGCCGCTGCAGGTAGGTGGCGCGGCGCTGGGGGCTCGGTGGCGAGCGGGAGGCGCGGGGTGGCCGGGGGCGGCCGGCGGCGTGAGGGGCCGGGGGCGGCGAGGGGCGGGCGCCTGGGGGCGGCGGCTTCCTGTGGGAGGGGCCTGGCGAGCGGTTCCGGCCTCCGAGGAGGGGTGTCCCGGCTCGCGCCCGAGCGGGGTGGGCGCTGGGCCCGGTGGGAGTCGCCAGCTGCTGGCGCTTCCGGAAGGGGGACCCCTGCCTGGGCGCCTGCGGTGCGGAGGAGCCGCGTCTGTGCAGGGGTTCTGACCTCGGCCGGGGAGACTTGCAAGCTCCCTTGGAAGGGGCTGCCTGGGAGTGGGCGTCTGGCTTGTAGGGACAGGGAGAACAATCTGGACGGTGCGGCCTGGACCCCATTCCGAGAGTGGACCCCATTCCGAGAGTCTTCCTTACGTCCTCTTTGAAGAGGATGGCGACCTGAGAGTTTGATTTCGGTCCCGTTCAGTTTTTAAACTTCAGGAGGGATTCCTGAGTCTTGATCGACTGACTCTGGTCACACCCACTTGGCCCTGTAGGGTTTCCACTTGTTGGGAGCCTAGCCCTTCAGATCATCTTTCTTTGAGATGCTCCGGGATCGGCTAATCTTCGAGAACAAAAAAAATTTAAGACGTGTAGATGCTTTACCTGACTTACAACCCACACTGTTGTCAGCGACCTGGGCCAGCGTTACCTCAGCAACGCCTTGACTGCTCAAGTCTTGGACAGTTGAAAAGTGTACCGACACTGCTCTAGACATTCTGTCTGAGGCTTAAATTACGCAGCTTCTTTTACCATGTGACTTCTTATCTTGACCAGCTGTGACTAGGTGGGGTGACACAGAAGTTTCCGTGGTGTTCCTTAGAACTCTGTGACCTAGATTATATATATATATATATATATATATATATATATATATATATTTTTTTTTTTTTTTTTTTTTTGAGGTTAAAATACCCATCTTAAGGTTGTTTATCCTTCAGGCTGAGGCATGAAGTTGCTTGCCTCTAAGTTCCAGGCTAGCCTGGGCTACACTGTTAAGTCCTAAACAAGCAAACGGGCCACCCTCTTTCTCTTTACATTTACTAAACTTTGCAGAAGGGAAATGAGCTTTATGAATGTGATGAAGGAGTAGGGCTTCAAATGGGACGCTGACAGGAGCCAGAACCACAGGTCACTAGGGGAAAGAAAGTACTTTGCATTGGTACGTTAAGAGTTGACGGCTTTGGGGTATATGACAAACATTCAAAAGTTAATTTTTGTAGCAGTCTTGAGAAGTCATTTACTCTTAACAGAGAACAAACAGCTAAGAGAGTTTGACTTAAAAAAAAAAACTAGGTATGTGCATGCGTGTGTGCGTGTTCCTGTCTGTGTATGTATGTCGTATGTAGGGTGTGGGTGCCCACAGAGGGCAGAAGAGAGCATTGGGTTCCTTGAAGCTAGAGATACAGGTGGTTGTGAGCCTCTGGAGTTTCATGCTGGATCTCTGTGAGTTTGAGGCCAGCCTGGTCTACAGAGTGAGTTCCAGGACAGCTAGGGCTGGTACACAGAGAAACCCTTCCTCGAAAAACCAAAAAAAAAAAAAAAAAAAAAAAAAAAGAAGAAGAAGAGGAAGAGGAAGAAGAAGAAGAAGAAGAAGAAGAAAGAATAAAAGGTCCTAAATGAATGCTGTAGCTGCTAAGCCAACCCGGCTTGTTATGCTTTCCTTCCTTGTTTACTCATCTTCCTGCTAGACTAAATAATTCAAGGGCAGCAATCCTATTTTATGTGGCTCCCTTGGCTACTAGCTTCTTGCCTGGTATGTTGTGAGTACACGGTCCGTGTTAGAGGAATAAGGGGGTTTCTAAAGGTCGCACTGCTGTATGTAGTGAAGAAGGGGTTGGACTTAAGTTTTCTGTCTCTTGGGTCAGCGAAGCTAGCTCTGGTCTGTGTTCTTGGTCGACGGGAAAGGCTTGGGTGGGCTTGTCAATCGCTTTCACTTTGTTTTTTGTTGGCGAGCTTCGCAGCCATAGCCTTCCTTTTTGTAATTTTTTCTTTTTAGACAGAATCTCTGAAGTTTCCCTGGGTGGCCTCAACCTCCTGTAGCTCAGGCAAGCCTTGAACTTGTGCTTCTCCTGCCCCCGCCTCCTGAGTAACTGGGATTGCAGGCTTGCACCACCAGGTAATCTTTACTAAATGATAGCTTTCCCATCTGCAAAAATCTTATACCAGAATCTCATTTATTCTTATTTCTTTATTTATTTAAGACAAAGTTTCATTAGGTAGCCTTGGCTGGCCTAGCACTCACAAAGATCCACCTGCTTCTACCTCCCAAGTGCTGGAATTAAAGTTGTGTTAAATTAAAATTAAATTAAAATTAAAACTATGCTCAGCCTTTCTTTTGTTTGTTCTTTTTTTTTTTTTTGACACTGTGTCTTTTGGCTTTTTGATACAAGGTAAGTTGTAGCCCAGGCTGGCCGCAGGCTGGCTATGTTGCTAAGGAAGCTAAAGCTATGATTGGCTGAGTCTCTTGTCTCTACCTTCCAAGTGCTGGAGTTGCAGGCATTCATTTACCACTGTGTGTAGCCCAACATCTCATTCAAGCCATGATCTGTGGAGGATGAAGAAGCTGAGGCTTCCTGAAGTCCTTACTTTAGATTCCACACTAGTAAATGAATGACGGAGTTGGCTCTCTCCTTCCACCTTGTGGGTCCTGGGAATCCGGCTCCAGCTGTCAGGCTTGGTGGCAAACACCTTTACCTGCTGAGCCGTCTTTTCCACGTAGGCTTTTTTATTTCTAGATCTATTAGGTTTTATTCATAAAAGCAATAAAAGGTTTCATTTAAAAATAGTTTTTAAATATAAAAAGTGTGCTATTAGGGTGGGTATAAGTGGCATATACCTGTAATCCAAGCAGTTGGGAGGCAGAAGCGAGAGGATTGCTCACTGCTACTTTCTTACAGGCATCGTGCTGGAGTTTGGCCATTCGGCATGGAGGCCGCTGGCCATGTAGGACTGTTGAACCCTGGTATAGCCTGTGAATGTCAGATCCATCAGATTTTGAAGATTCAATATGAAAGCTGAAATGTTGCCTTGCCCCCATCCCTCTGAGCCATTGTTTCTCTGTGTAGCTCTTGCTGATCTGGAACTCACTCTGTAGACCAGGCTGGCCTCAGATCCACCTACTTCTGCGTCCTGAGTGCTAGGTTTAAAGGGTGTGCCACCATTGCTCTGCTTACACTGATGTTTTTATATTCTAGTAAAATCATATAAATGCAATCTATAAATACATGCTACAAATGGTAATATTTTATATTTATTATGTTAAATACAATATAATTAAGTTTCAGTGGGGAACAGTGACTCATGCCTATAATCTTAGCACTTTTTTGGGGGGTTGGGAGGCAGGTCTCACATTTGCTCAGTGCTCAGGCTAGCCTTAAACTGACACCCCCTTTTGAAGCCCGAGCCTCTTGGGTGCCAGGATTATAGGTGTGCTGGTTCCTGAATAAAGATTCCAAAGAGGAGAAGCCATGGGTCACGTGATTGACTGAGGGTAAAGCAGTGCAGGGGAAGGGATAAGCACGATCAAATGCCTGGAAGGAGAAACACTTTTGGAAGGTTTAGGGATCAGCCAGGAACACGGTATGGCTAGAGAAGGGTAAGTGAGTCAGGGGTGGAGAGAATGAATTTACAAGGGTGTTGGTTGTGGGAGGAAATAATTGGGAAGGCCAGGGAAGGCCTTGCAGGCCTTTGTGTGGATGTTGGTTTTCACGGGATGAGTGAGGCATTTGAGCTGAGGAGTGGATACAGTCCATCCTGCCTTTTGGCAGACCCACTGGAATTATTGTGTGGAGGAGAAAGGGAACCAGGGAAGAAGCAAAAAGATGGGTGAGGAGAGCATTGCCACACTTGGTAAAAAATGCATTGGGCTAGATTTTGAAGCTCAGCCAGTGGGATTTGTGGATGAGGTGACAGGGATGTAGAATGTGGGAGGATGGGAGCAGGCGAAAGTGACTCCAGGTTTTGGGTATGAACAAGTAGAAATGGAGGGACAGGAGCTGGAGATGTGCCCAGCTGGTAGAGTATTCGCCTCATGTGCATAAAGCCTGGGGCATAAACACCTCCTACACATGTCTGTAACCCCAGTGTTCGTGAGGTAGAGACTGGGTTATCCTTTGGGATCAGCCTGGGCTACATAGGACCCTGACTCAAAAAAAAAAAAAAAAAAAAAGGAGGGGGAGCCTATAGTGTAGCCAGGAGTTGTGTTCGGTTTTGTTCACATTCATTGTGCACAGCCTAGTGTAGACCCAAGGGAAGATGCTGGGGCAGTTAGAGGAGTCCCTGGTGTCAAGCAGGGACAGGAGGTCTGTAACCAGGGCTGGAGTTGAGAGTGGACAAGGTCACCCCGAGGGTAGTGTGAACACAGTGCTGCAGGGTTTGAATTTGTAGAGTAAATTTCAGTCCTCTGGAGGCCTGCTAAGTGCTGCTGCTGGTCAGCAGGAACTTGGTCTCTTCTTTTGTCATTTAAAGACCCTTTTTTGTTTTTGCTGCAGGATCTCACTAACTAGTCCTGATTGTCCCAGAACTCACTGTGACCAGGTTGGCCTTGAACTCAGAGATTTCTCTGCCTCTTCTAAGTGCTGAGATTAAAGGCCCTTTTAAAAACAACAGGCTTGAGGTTGGAGTGATATCTCAGCAGCTGAGAATACTGGGTGTTCTTCCAGAGGATCCTGGTTCCCTGGTTCAATTCCCAGCACCCACATGGTGACTCGCTACTGTCTGTAATTCCAGTTTCAGGGCACCTGACACCTTCATGCATGCCAGACACCAATGCACATCAACAAAAATGAAACAAATACCAACAAGCTGATAGATTTTTTTTTTTTTTCAGTAGTTGAGAACTGTTCTGAGATCGGCTCAAGTGCTAACTTCAGGAATTTCTGGCTTTCTGTGTTGACAACCAAGGTTGGAAAAGAAAAAGGCAGGTGGAATATAAATGGTTTTTCTCTAAAAATTTATTTATTTATTATATATTCACTTTCCAGGAGACAGTGCCAGGTCTCATTACAGATGGTTGTGAGCTACCATGTGGTTGCTGGGAATTGAACTCAGGACCTCTGGAAGAGCAGCCGGTGCTCTGAACCTCCAAGCTATCTCTCCAGCCCTAATACATGGGTTTTTAAAGTTTAAAATACCAACTTTGCCAAACACAAGTTGAACATAGTTCACACACACATACACACACACCCCACAGTCTGCCATCATGTAGATTAAGCATAAATGTAATCTCATACTGACTGGTGAGTGACCCTTGGATTTCAGTCTTGGTCTTGGGATCTGATGTTTTTCTCAGTAAGATAGTCTATTCATGAGCATCAACTCAAATTGTGATTAGAGCAGTGAGCTGTTAAAAAATGCATTTGTGAAAAAAATACATTTGTGTATTCATTGCGTGTACATGTGTGTTAAGGCACATGTGTGGAGGACACCATGAGATGGAATTCAGATTCTTAGTGCTGGCAGCAGACACCTTTTCCTGCTGAGCTATCTGAGTAGCCTGGCCCAAGAGAGCTTTTGAGTACCTGCATCACTTAGGACTGTGATGGACTCTGGAATCTCTAAGATCTTGTTCCATTGTATTCCAACTGGAGTCTTTATTATTAAAAATTTCCACCTCCTCCCATGTCCCTCCCCCCCCATTCCCCTTCCCTCTCCAGTCCAAAGAGCAGTCAGGGTTCCCTGTCCTATGGGAAGTCCAAGGTCCTCCCCGCCCAACTGCAGTCTTTAGAAGGCTGTGAGCTCCCTGTTCTCATCAGTGCCCTCAGCTTAGAAGCAGTGACTTGCTGGTAACTGCGGGAAACGCCAAGTCTTCACTCAGGGCAGGCCTCTTCCTTTGGTCATTCATGCCTTATCTGTTGTGTTTTTGTTTATCTTGAGATCTGTTTTGTCATCTCTGTTATTATTAGCTGATCATTTTCCTTCCATAAGTTTTTTTTTGGTCAGATCTATCAAAATCTTTTTCCATCTTTTTTTTTTTTTTTTTTTTTTTTTGAGGCAGAGTTTCTCTGTGTAGTCCCCTGGCTGTCCTGGAACTTGCTCTGTAGACCAAGCTGATCTTGAACCCAGAGATCTGCCTGCCTCTGCCTCCCTAGTGGTAGGATTCTAGGATTAAAGGTGTGCACCACCATGCCCAGGCTCCTGTTGCTTCCTAATAGCTGGGTATTCCACTGCATGGCTGCTGACATCATCTATGATGTCATGGGAACAGCAGCCATCCACATTGCAGCCCGCAGTATCTCAATAGTTCCAAAACGTTCTCTAGCTAAAGATTGGTGCTGCATCTGTGGGCCAGTGTTGACAGTCACATCAGAAGTGATGCTTCAGCTGTGTTTAATGTTGTTCTGTTTCTTGATGGCTCCTTGAGAGCTTGTCTACTCCAAGCCGTCAGTCTCACCACCACCCTCAGACCTTTCCCATGACCAGCTGCCTTGGCAGTGTCGTCACCTGCATTGTTTTGGAGACAGATCCAGGGCACTGATGTTGGGTGGATGTGGTGCTGGTCTTATCTCCAGTGTACCTCAGACACACCACTTTGGTCTCCTTCGGGCTGAACTTGGACTGCATGGTGGAGGCAGCTGGTGCTGGTAGCCTTTCCTCTCCAATTGTTACCTGCGAGTTGGCAAAGTCTTCCAATTTTGATTGCTTTTCTATTTGGGCCTCTGGTGAAAGGAAGGCAGTTCAGTGCTAGACGGTGGGAAGAGGGCGAGAAAGAAGCCTGTGTGTGTGGAAAGATCTAGACAAGCTTGAGCACGGGAAGGGAGGAGAGGTCTTTGGGATAGACTCTGCTCTTTTATGTCTTTCAGAAGAGCAACAGAGTTGGTCTTTCCTTATAAATAAGCCTGTTTCTCTCGCTAGGAATTGAACCTGGGGCCTTGTGCTATCAGGCCTGCTTATTACCTCTGAGCTATGTCCCAGTGCTGCTTCACCATTTTTATCCCTCAAGATGGTCTCAGCTTTTCAGTCTGCTCTGAACTCACTGTTGTAGCATAGGCTAGCCCTGAACTTGTGATTCTTCTGCCTGAGCCCAAGGTTATAGGCCTGTCTTTCTTTTCCTTCTCATTCTCCTCCTCCTCTTTTTCTTCTTCGTGTGTGTGTGTGTGTGTGTGTGTGTGTGTGTGT